ACCTCCTGCCTCGTCGTCGCCTCCCTACGAATCCTGGCAATGGGCTCCTCGAACCTACCTGCTCCTCTCAGTCCCTCAATCGCCTGAGCGACGGTCCAACCCATACGCCTCGCATGCTCCCAGAAACTGTCCAAGAATAGCTCAATGTCCCCATCATTGTAGACCGGAGTACTCTCCCGATGGCGAGGCCCATGCCGCTCATATCCTCCTGATGCGCCCAACGGCCTCTGAGGCGGCCGTGTCCCCTTTCCTCCTCTTGGCATGGTTGTCTTCGTAAAGTCAGACCTGCACAACAGGCGAAGGAGACAACAGACACACATTGGGGTAAGCAAGTAGGTGATAATCAAAGCGAGCTCAGACCAGACCACACTCATGCAGCACGCATCCTACCTAACCTACACACCCTGTTACTTCTATTGTAAAAGGCAGTCAGGTCATCTCTCTTACCTTTTCTCTCGCCACAAATTTCTTCAGTCGCGTTCCAGATACCCAATCCTTTCACTCAGTCCCATTTACTTCCTCGATTTGGTACGCTCCGAAGTCTCCGATCCGCGCGATCCGGTAGGGACCTAACCACCTCTTATCGAGCTTCCTGGACCATTGCTTCTCCAGTGATGAATTGTAGAGAAGCACGACATCTCCCACTGCCAAGGGTACTTTCCTCACCCGCGCAGATTGATCCCACCGAGCCTTATCGTCCGTACGGTTTCTCGCCACCTGGTCAGTCGCCTCCTGTATCCTTTCTTCTATCGCCCCTATCTGCCGCGCCCGAATATCGAGCAAGTCTTCGAAGGACAGGTTAACTTCCAGATCCTGGCGCCTCCATGTCTTAAGAAAGCTTTCGATAGGGAAGGTGGCGTGCCTTCCGTACCACAGCGTCGCCGGTGCGTACTTGGTGGATCTTTTTACTGTAATATTCTCGACAAAGAAAGCCGCCTTTAGGTATCTTGGCCACTGATTAGGCCTACCTTCTGTCCATTTAGCCAGGAGATTCGTAATGGTACTATGTCCTCGTTCCACGGGAGCATTTGCCTGGGGTGCGCGGCCGTGGTGTAGTTGGCTGCCACACCATACCTTGATAAAAGTTCTTGCACTTCCTGGCAAGTAAACTCCGATCCCCTGTCCATTACGAATTCCCTGACGAAAGGATAGCGCAAGTAATACTCCTCGATACAATTCACTAAGACTAACCCGGTCTTCGTGCGAATAGCACGCCCGTCTACGAACCCAGACAGGTTATCGCGCGCATCGAAGATGTAGTTATAGCCCTGATCCCCAAACGACATAAGAAGCAGATCGAAATGCACTATGGCCCCCACTTCTCGCTCTAGCCTTGGATGCAGCGGCTCTTCTTGTCTTAAACGGGACCTCTCCTGGCAAGGTACGCACGATCGGCAGAACTTTCCGACCATATCCATCATTCCATCCCAGTAGTAGAGCTCACATACCTTGGCATACGTAGCTTGTATCCCTCGGTGCCCTCCTGCAATGCCATCATGAAGCGCAACTATGACGTCGAACTAACGATTCCTACCGCAGACGACTCTCCTAGGATTTTCCACTTCTCTTCTTACGAAAAGGTGACCGTCTCGCACTAGATACCGCTGCAGCATCCTCTGAGCTCTATCGCTTGCATCCCTAAGCCGCATTTCACATGACRGAAGAAGCCCCAGCTCTAGGTAGATCCCGTCGTACTCCTCTACACGAAACGCCTCTTTAATCTCCCCTTCCTCGAACTCGTCGTCCTGGCTCTCGGGCACTTCGTTCACATTCCCTGCCGGGTTCAACGACCCTGATTGGTCTAGGCTTTCCTGCAATAACGTATTGACGAGGAGATACATTCCTCCCATCAGGCCCTCATGCCGTTCTACCTGGTCAGGTCCTTCCTCAATCGTGCTCATATCCTCCACCAGGCTATGCGAGCTGGCCAGCGCTAATTCCATCATCCACTGAACATCCTTACCGCCCCAGGGATCCTCTTCCTCAAAGGG